TACTTTGAATAAATTTGCAGGAAATTAATAATTAGATCGATCTGTGGGTGTTAGGTGTGTTAACCATCACCCAATATTATATTAATCATAACTATAATATAATATAATCTTATAACCATTAACTCATAATGTAAAAATTTTTATAAAAAATATTAAGGCCCGGCCCGGCCGGGTTTAACAATCTTAGGCCCTGCCCGGATATATTTAAAAAAATTTTTTTAGGCCCGGCCCGGATATATTTAAAAAATTTTTTTCGGCCCGGGCCGGGCTTAGGGCCGGGCCTGCAGGTCTCTGATATATGCTTTATAGAAGAATTTCCCCTTTTTATTTAAAATAAAATTGAGTTGTGGATTACACTGAAAGAATGTTTAAAAAGTACACCCCAGTATTCGCATTTTTATTATAATAAATATGCTTATATTCGCAACTTTATTTTTGTTGATTTTATTTTGAGGGTATATAATTAATTCAAAAAGGTATATTCTAAAGACGAAATAGGTTCCAAAAATGAATAGTTGCTTGCATCTTGATTATTGCTTATCAAAAGTGAATAAATAATGATACAACTTATAATGAAATTTAAAAAAATTAGAACTTCTTTTAATATTCCATTGACATAGCCAAGGAAAAGGGGGGAGGGGATTTTTTAAAAAATATCATTTTAATTAAACTCATAAATAAAATACCCTCTCCTCCACCCCCAATAGTAATTATAATTGTAAAACCAATATATTTTTTTGTAAATTATAAATAATAGGATATGTTAACAATTTAAAAAAATAATATGAGTGATTTTTTGAAAAATCTAGTCAAAGACCCTTCAAAGCTCGATATGGGTGGAGAGCGAAACTTTACCATAATTTCCCTTGATGAAATCCTGGTTAGGTTAGGTCAGGTCTATGACAAATTCTAATTTTTAATTTAAGCGTTAGAGAGATAGGTGTATTAAACTTTGATAACCTAATAGTTAATAACTCTCAGGTACAAACATTTGAAAATGATAATATTTCTGGAACCATAATTCTAAAGGATTTAAAAGTTGAGGGAAAATTTTAAAAATTTTCAAAATTATCTCAGGAACCCAGCACCAGAGCAAATATAGAAAAAATTTTCAAGAATTTTATTATAATCAATTATTGGATATGTAGAAAAAGTTTTAACTAACATTTATCTTGATTAAAATGAAAGATCGATATTTATATAAATTTTCAAATTTCAGTCAAAAAATAAAACTTTAATTGCGTAATTTGCAATTTCATTACTTTTTATAATTAATTAGATTTTATATATAACTAAATAATAATTAGCCATTATCGAAGATTAAAGTAATTTTAAAGAAAAAAAGCAATTTTATGTTATTATTTTATTATAACAAAAATTATAATTCAAATTCTTTTGAGCCAAGCAAAATGGAGTGAGAGAGATATAATTATAACAAACTTTTAATAGATTACTCTCTAAGAATTGAGACTATAAAATTTGTGCCCTGTTGCGCCTGCGGACTGACGCCAACATTTTAACTTGCTCCAAACGCCGCTGATTTATAGTAGGCCAAGGTAGGGAATAGTGTTTTGCAAAAAATAACTGTAGCCAGTTACTTTCAAAATATAACTTTTGGATCTAACGACAAAAGTAACTTTTACATTATAAGGTAATTTCTATATGTTAAATATTTATATATACCAACCATTATCTTTATATGATTGATTTCTCTAGTTATATTATTATGAATTATATAAATCGATATATTATCATTTTATTAACAAAAAATAAGTTAATTAAAAATGTCTCATTTTCATCAAGTACTCCTGTACTACGTTTGATTAATCTTGGGAAGCTAATTTTAGAAGAAAAACTAGTAGGCCTTTTAGACATTAATTTTGAAGATAGTTTAGTGTATTAAAATTAAGAATTATTTAGAGTCTAATTGGATGTTATTTGTATATTTTTTCGCTGCAAATTAATAATATTTTTTTCCTTAAAGAAATATTAAACTGTAGTATTATTTTTCCATTTCAATTACTTTATATTTCATTTTCATTTAAATAAATTTGATTCAATAAAGCAACTTGCAAGGTAGCTAGTTACTTTTGAACTATATAACGTGTAACCTTAACTATTACTTTTAAAAGTACTTTTAACAAAATCATTAGATATCCTCGATATGTTTAAAAATATGTCAGGTATACATTTTCATTTTACTTAAAAAAATAATCGTTTGCAAATTATTTCAGGAAAAGTGTTTAGTTGTGTTGCTTTTTAATTGACAGTTATTGACCTTTGCATATATTTTGCATATTAAATATAACATGTGCGATATTGAACCAATCAAAATTTAATACGATAGATATAATAATGTTTATTTATAATATTTATATATAAAAAAATAGTCAATCTCAAAACGCTTATGGTCTCGGTTGAGTGCGTGCATTGCATCTCAATCCGATTCCTCTGGGTTCGAATCGAGCAAGGACCATGTTTATTTCTGTACAAATTGGCTATCCCCTATGGGGGGGGGGTGATATAAAGAATATAGGAAGCTAACGCGTGATTCTGTTTCCTAAATATATATAAAAAATGCGTAGTTGCATTTTTTAAAAAATTTGACTTTGTTTAGCAAATTTGGTTGTTGTTTAGTAAATTTATATATGTTGAGTAGTGATGCAAAATTGCCCTATTTGAGCCGATTTTTAAAAAAGGCTAGCTCATATTTTATCCACAATTAATTTTTTTTTAACTTTTCACATCACATAGTAATCAAAAAAATCTTTAATCACCATTTTAAAATTGGAAGTGAGGGGAAGGGGGGGGGGTGATTCTGAAAACTTTACTAATTGGCAGAAAGGTTTCATATATTAACGAAATCTCGAAGCTTGCATAAAATTATTTAGGCCAATATCTTAATTTAATATAGGCTAAATCGAGCCATTTAACAACACTAATCTCGGCGTGATATTTATTAATATTTCTGGATAAATATCATACAAATTTGTTGAACAGCTTTCTGTAAAAACGCTCCTTTTTGAAGTTCTATGTGCTATTGGTCCAAGATATGCTTGTATGATTAAAATTAAGATCTTTACTAAAACCAGGGATATTAACTGAAACGAATATCGGTTCGGTTTAGGTTCAGGTTCGGACAGAAATAAAGGTTCAAGATTCAGGTTCGGTTCGAAAAAAAGTATAGGTTCGGTTCGGTTCGAACCTACAAAATCCTAGTTTGTACACTTTTGTATATAAACCTACATTCGATTTATATATTTTATTTGTTGGTATTTTGTGAAATTTATTGAGTTTTAGAGGGTGGTTTCTTTATATGTATTGCTCAAGATTTGCTCCTGGTTCCCCTTCATAGTTATTAAATCAGTAATATTACATTTTGATGTGTTATTTATAATATATGTAAATAATTTATATATTCGATTCGATTTATTTCTAAGCATAAAAACAAAAGAAAAAATTTAAATTTGAAGAAAAAACAAAAAAATAACGAGAAAAAAATAGAAATAATAACAATGCCACCAAATACTTAAAATAAATCAAAAATAAGGTGTTCCAGTTTAAAAGCTTTTTATCCTAGACTAAAAAGCAATTTAGTATTAAATATAAGTCGACCCAGGATACGATCTAAGCTTAAAAATATTTAAATATAGTAAAATTGTGATATGGTTATGAAAATTAAATTAGAATGTTATCAATATACTAATAATAACTTTCACATAATTTTATAAGCATAAAATCATGAGACTCTAACCGGTTCAAAGGCAATATAGCAGTTCCGTTTAGGTTCGGATAGAAAATCATTTAACAGTTCAGGTTCGGTTCAGATTTGATAAAAATAGTGGTTAATACCTGTTTAACGGTCCGGTTCAGGTTGAATCTCTGGTTATAACATAAATAGAAGTGTTCTAGAGAACTCTTAAATAATCAATAATACAAAATATTATAAAGATTCTAAACTTGGAACACTTTTACATGCATGTATTCATTCAAAATGGGTATATAGTTTTCATTTCCTCATATTTATAGAAAGACTCGAAGTAGCAATAAAAAAAATATGTAGAAAAACATATTCGAATAAGTTAGTTATTGTGATTTACATTAAATACTTCTACACTCTTAAATCATTGATGATACCCTCATATATTTTATCCACCTTCTTCAAAATTTTACCTTTATTTCAAATCAAATGTGCATAAAAAGACAATCCTCTAATTTTATTCAAATGATGATAACGCTTTCATAAATATCCACCTCCTTTATGTTTAATGACGATCTTACTTTCCCCTCACGGAGTAGGAGTAACTGTTATAGGGCCTATCATTGCATAGTCGTTTAGATCCTTGGGATTTTGCCAACAATAACATTGTGTAATTATAGAGATGTCAGGGTGCCATAAAATTTATAGCATTGGTGGTGGGTCAATCGTTGATGGATCCAAAAACTCAAAATAAAATTTTTGAATATAAATGTTTCGCAATATCTCTCTATATTAGCAAATGAGCTATTTCTGGCATTGAATAATATCTCTCCTTGCGCGGAATATTGATACTAAATTATGCGAAAATATTATGTGTGTTCTCATTTTTTCTTTGAGCACTTAATTTTTTAAACCTGGCCGTTTAGTTTCATACTTGAGAATTTTTTTCCATAGAAATTCAGTTTATTACGAGGATTAAGAAGCAATTCAATTTTGAAAATTGAGTATATTTTTAATCTGAGAATTTCAACATTTATTCTTAGTATAGGATTTTTTTGCAATCTTAATTTTTGAGCAATTAAGCAGAACAATCGGTCAAAATTAAGGCAAATATAATAGCCTTATACTAATTGGTGATAATTTACCTTTCAATGATTTCATAATTTATAATGTTAAAAAATAACACCTTGAAAAGGTATTATTTATTTTTAAAAATACTCACTACTTTTACTTGCTTATTTATTTTTATTATTTTATAATATACATAATTTGAAAAAATTGTAAAAAGTATATTTAAAATCATGTTTATGCTAGTTATTATTTTTTTAAAAATTCGCAAAAATATCATTTTCTTAAATCTTTTTTCCAAAAGAGTATAGCCTTTCCTTGATATATTTTTTATTATTTTTAAAAATTGTCAAATCCTAAATTTTCCCCATGGATTCCAATTATTATTACAATGTAAGTTGATTCTTCTTTCATGTAAACTGAAATCTAAAATTAAATGATTTTGCACTCAATTCTAAGACCACTTTGTTTTTTAAAATATTAAGTGGAATAACCTTGAAAGTTACCTTAAATCAAACCTACACTTTGTTATTATATATTAATTTTATATATCTGATCTGGAGAATCCAAATTTTTGTGGTATATCATCAATATAAAGACGATTAACTAATTATATTGTAAACTAGAGGGAATATAAAAATAAATAGCCAATTTTTGACTTGTTTGCTTTTCCTGATTTATTTTTTATCTCATTCTCAAAATACTAAATATGGAAATTAAATACTTCAATCAGAAATTATAGATGGTTATTAAATTAATTTGTATAAAAAAGAATTTGTTAATATTCTAAAATTATTAAAAATTAAAAAAGATAAAACCATGGAAATGAATTATTTCATAACTTAGAGGTGTTTTTTACGATGATTGATAAAAAAGGTCAATTTAAGCCTTTTAATTTATACAATAAACAAACTTAAACTTTGGCAACAAAATGTCGTTTTGATGATAAGCTGGGCTAATAACATGCTATATCCATATTTTTTAAATGCTGATTATCAGATCATGCGACAAACAGTAATTTAAAAAAATATAATGCGAGTTAATATTGATAAATTTACGCCATTAATAGAGGCCAATAATTATGGCCATTTATAATTATGTCCTAATTTTTTTGGCATAAGCTCAACTAAATTTTTTTTATTAAAAATATAATCTATGACTAAAAATGATTTTAATAAATTTTTATATTTTACTTACATTTTGTCTAATTTAAATTTTTAATTACTTTTGTTATTTTTAATTTTAAGCATAAATCAATATATATGCTCTTTAGTTTAATATCCACTTCGAGCGCTTGCTATTTCATTTACAAAATTAATAAAGCTCATTTTCAGTACAGGGACTTCTACACCCCCCCCCCCCTTTTCCATCTTAGTCAATGACTTTTACTCCCTACCCACTATCAAATAAAAGTTAGCAACAAAATTAGCAAAAAGAGAAATGCAAATCAAAACCACCCCTATCCCCCTTCAATTTTAATGACGATCTTGTTATACCTCCCCCCTCTCTTGCGTTAGTTCTAAGCCCATTTGGTCTAAAAATTAAGCACCGGATCATTAAGTATAAGGTTTTTGGTTTTAAAAAGGGAGCAAATATATTCCATTTCGTTTAATTTTTATAACCCAAATAAATTATTATAGTTCGTTTGGGTTATAAAAACTCTAAATGGCCATTTCCATATTATTGATTAAATTCTCTTACATGTCGTGTAACTTATGCAGCAAACTTTACTTAATCTCGTGTAATTAATTAAATTATAAAAAATGACCCTTACAGGTCGGGAAAACTTAGGAGTCTTCCCTAAATTCTAATGTAATTGAGGCACGAGTAATACCTATATAGGACGTTGATTTTTATGTAGCTCTCTGATTTCTAAAGTTATGCTCAACAATACTGATACAATACTTTATTAACAATATTGGCTATAATAAGCTGATAAAAGAATGTGTAGTCAAGCTCTCATTTGAAATAATAAAAACTATTTAAAATATTATTAAAAATGATTGCGCGAATGTGTTATCCAGGGATTAAATTTTTTTTGTAACCTTCTGAGCTGGAATATTATGTTCAAAGGGACACAATATATGCAATACCAACTTATTACGAGGTTAAATTACTTTCTTAACAACATTGACTAAAATAATTAAAGTAATTGCGGAATTAGGTCATCAGATAAAACATAATATCTTATTCCTACAGTTCTATATTTCTTATTATTAAAAATTACGATATGATAAACTCAAAGATCTTGTCCTCTACATACGGCTATGCTCATGTGATAGATTCACTATCTTAGTATATGAATTTTGAACAAGATAATCGTGACAACTCATAACTTTATAATCAAAATAAAGACAATTGCTTAACTGATAAAGAACTATAAAAAATCTATTATTTCACTGAGAATCCGCAGACGAGGCCAGGCAACAAATTAACCCTTTATCACATATGACTACTAATCAGTCACATAGTGAATTTTCTGACCTATTTTACCGTGTAAATTATTTTGGCGCTAAAATTTGAATTGTGTCTTACAAGTAACATTCCTTTTATATAAAAATCATTTTTTTAAATAGAAATTCTCACATTTATTTAAAGTGCGAGTATTTAATGTCAGCTGTCCCCTATATTTCAAAATTGACATTTTTCGTAATTTTTAATTACATTTTTTTAATATTAAACTCCGATATTATTTTTCAAAAAAAATATCAACAGATAACTAAAATATTTCTAAATTCTTTTCCGTTTTTATATTTAAAAAAAGTATAATTAAAATTTTTTTACTAGCATTAATATATTTGTAACACAAAAGACACAAAGATTCTTCTGATGATAGCCTTGAAGATTTCGACGATAATGAGGATGAAAATTCATTATTTTCAGATAATTTTACTGCTATAAATAGACGAAGAGACATACTATGGAAGGAAAAAAATATAAACATCCCTAAAAATTATTTAAAATTCAATGGAAAGTCAACTTTGGCCAGCGACATACTGGCTTTAAATACTCCATATCAATGTTTATCATATTTTTTAAATGATAATTTTCTAGATTTAGTGGTTCTCGAATCAACTAAATACGCTGCAATAAAAAATATAAATAAACCTATAAAAATTTCCAAAATGGAGTTAAGAAAATTTATTGGGATTAATATTCTGATGTCCATTGTCCAATTACCATCTATCAGAGACTATTGGAAAGATGTAATTGGCAATGATCTTATAAAAAAGAACATGACAATCACTAAATTTGAAAGCATTCGATCCATTCTTCATTTTAATGACAATAATAATTCTATAGCTAAAGGTCAACCAGGCTATAATAGGCTTATAAAAGTAGCCTCAATTGTGAAACACTTTCAAGATAGGTTTTGTACAATTCCTAAAAAGGAATGCTTATCAATCTATGAGCAAATTTGCTCAACTAAAGCTCGGATACATTTAAAACAATATATGCCAATGAAGCCTCACAAATGGGGCTTTAAATTCTTCATTCTATGCGGTGTATCAGGATTTGCCTATGATTTTGAACTATATTCTGGGCAGGAAAATGATTCTGAAAAAAGACCAGCAACAGAACCAGATTTAGGAGCGTCCAGCAATATTGTTGTGCGTCTAAGCCGTACTATACTTATAAATCAAAATTTTAAGCTATATTTTGACAATTACTACACCTCAATAAACCTTTTGATATATTTGGCAAAAAAAGGTATAAGAAATCTATTATATATTTAATATTTTAAGTATATTTATAGGTATATACAGTCTTGGTACAGTAAGGAGGAATAGAATCCCAAATTGTAAGCTTCCTACAGAGATCGAAATGAAAAAAGAGATCAGAGGGTCATCCTTTGAATATATGGTAAATATTGAAGGGGTAGATATAACTTCCTTAGTATGGAAAGATAATAAAACGGTAACCTTTTTGTCAACATTGTACGGGAAATTACCCCAGAGTCAAATTGAACGATATGACCGCAAAACCAAGAAAAGACTAAATATAACTTGTCCCATGCTTGTCAAATAATATAACAAACATATGGGAGGGGTTGATTTGTTAGACAGCAATATTGGAAGATACCATAATACAACCAGATCCAAAAAGTGGTATATAAGAGTCTTCCAACACCTTATTGATATAGCAGTTGTAAATTCCTGGTTATTATATCGGCGTATTCAATGTGAGAAAGCCAAATCAGATGACAATTCTGTTTTTTTCTCTATCGGAATTTCGTCAAGAAGTAGCCACAACAATGTGTCAAGTTGAAGCTACAATAGAATTGAAACGTGGACGTCCTTCTTCTATGGTCGAAAATTTAATAGAAGATGATTATTTATTTATTATTTTATAATATTTTCATTTAGATAAAAAAAGAAGGGGGCCTATGTCTTTCGTACCGTTCACAGGTATTCGCACGGATCAAATTGGACATTTCCCAGAGTGGATGAATAATCGTCAAAGGTGCAAAAATCCACTATGTAAAGCGTTACACATGTAAAATGCTCGAAATGCCAATGTGCACTATGTTTCCATGCAAATAAAAACTGTTTTATTTTATTTCATACCAATATGTAAAATATAATAAATTGTTAGTTAAATACAATTTGTGACTTATATGTAACATACATTATTATGGTCAAAATAAAAAAAATAGAAAAATAAAAAAAAATTTTTTTGATCAATTATCGATTAACATATCAAAGGGAATACCTGAGAATTTTTTCTAACTTATTGCAAACATCATGTGGTAAAGGGGCTACACATTGCAAAATAATAAATTCTCATTCTCTTGAAAAAACAAATTTTTTTTAAAAGCGATTAAATCGAAGTTTTCTACAATATCTTCAACAGACCATGAAGCACAGGCAATAAAAATCTAATCAGAAATTCTTATTGGAGGAGCTCTTTAACTTTCATAGATTTACAATAAAAACCGAGCTAATAATTTAATATATCTCATTATGCCTTTTATAAATTGATAATTATATTTATAAGATCGTATATCTACACAAACTAGAAAATTCAGTCTTTAAATATAAAGACCTAGCATTTCACCCTACTATTACCATGACTTACACCACTTTATATCACATACATCGAAAATCCTTAAACTCTACACATACATTGTCACCGGGCTCACTGGGAAAATTAATTGCGCCACAAATAATATATCAGCTTCCATGAGCCTAACTCATTCATATACTTGTCAGACAATGTTGTCCATTGTGCAATAAACTAATCTAACCAAATGAGACTGCCATCTCTTTAAAACTGGAAAATTAAAAGTTCTGCTCAAAGGAGTATTTTATCATTGATCATTCTTCGATATTTTATTGCTTTTCCCACTTCTTCCTAGTGCAACCTAATATCCTCCACCTATCACTTCTCTC